TTCATATTATTTATGTGTAAATTTGATTTGAAAAAGTATTTCTTCTGCTTGAATTAATTATTTTATGATTATTTATTTGTAATTTTCTTCTTTTTCTTTAAAAACAGATTTTTTCAGAACTTTGTATTTTTTCAGTCTGACGTCGTTTTAAAATAATCAGTCTGATATTAGGATTAGTTACTCGGTACCAAAGTATCCTCTTTACTAAATACTTTTACTTGAGTAATTTCTTGGACGGCTAATTTTTACTAGAGTAAAATTATGTTGCAGTACTTTTACCCGAGTACAACTGTTGAGTACTCCCCCCCCACCCTGCATGTGAGATGTAATCTAAGCTGACTTATGTACATTGTATATAAATCTATGTAAATTGTACCATGTTAGCTCAAAGCTACTTGTAGTATTTATATATCCTTAAAATGAAGAAGGGTTTTGTAAATATTATATAAAGTGTATATTTGTGTACAGGGATGATTGTTGCCTTAAATTCATGTTCAAATGTAGATTATTATTGTTTTTTAATTTAAAGTAAAATGTTTTTGTGGGAATTATTAAAAACTCCTCTGTGGTTTTTCTTTTATTTATTTTTGACAATAAAAACAGCTCCAACGCAGCTGAAACTTGCATATTTTTATTAATTTCTTTGGAAGGAGGGAGAACCTGTTCCAAGCCCCGCCCCCACATCACACCTATACACGATATGAACGTACAGTAAATAAATACATGTGTTAAAGTCTTTCCATATACAAATATATTTTATGAAGCTTATTGTACAAGCAGTTCTTTACAGGTTGAGGATGATGATGGTAGAAAAATAAACTTCAGAAAGAATAAACTCTGTCGTTTCTGGAGCCAAAATCTATAAAGTTAAATAAAAACAATGGAAATAATGAATCGTCTGAAATATATTTCTACACATTTTACTGCTGAACAAATAAAAACTCAGAGTCTCACTTTGTTAACGAGCTCTGAGGGACCAAACCAGGCTGATGTTTACATCTGTAGAAACACGACGAGCCGATTGAATGAATAAAGTCTGAATAAATATTTGCTTTGATGAAGTGAAAATATTTTTAAATTTAATTTGAACAAATGAAACACTGATGAGGTGAAAACACATATCAACCCCATCAGGACACATTGAACCAGATCAGAAACAGTCCTAGTTTTCAGGATAATAAAGATAAAAAGTTGAATAAAAACGTTGAGATTTTATAAAAAGATGGAATCAGTTAAACTATAATGTTTATTTTTTATTTTATTTAAGCTCCTGAAACTTTTGTTTTTGGTTTATTTGTTGTAAATTATTATTTACCTTTACTATTTAAC